CCAGGTTGATGGATAGAAGCTCCAACTTCAGCAGCCCTCAGAATCTCAGCTGAAAGCTTGAGGCCAGTGGCAGGACAGGACCAGACAGAGGCGGGTTGGCTTGACACGGTGGTTAACTGAAGAAGCAGACCAGCACCATGTGCTTCTGAGGATCTTGTGTGTGGAGGAGGGCAGAGGTTGTCAGGGACCCCAGTGAAAGAGTTAGCAGAAGTGACCAGATAGTATTAGAGATAATTACCTGAGATAATTACCAACCTTTTCCAACCCCTCTAAACCCACTTTTACTAAAGTGGCCAGGTCTCCCCTTTTCTGTCCACATTTCCTGTCTACTCCCTATGTTATCCTTTATGATGAGACAGAGCAACAGAGGGCCCTGATTCTCCCACCAACGATTCTCATCTAATGCAAGCTGTTTCAAATATGTTTTCATCAATGACTAAGCTTTCTTGAGTCCCACCTTTCTCCACCTCCCCCTCAAACCCTTACTTTTCCCTCCCAACCCACAAGCAATACCCCTGAACTTGACTGGTGCATGACCTTCCTGTGGTGGCAGTCCTGAGCACTTTCACCATCTTTTGCAAGCCCAGCACAGATGGGCCTAACATGTATGAGCAGATCACCTCGTGAAGGGCAAACCCCAGTCCCAAGAGCCAAGACGTGTAGAAATCCTGGGATTGTGTGCAAGGCTGACTGTCCACCTGCACAAGCCTGCCTTTTTGTCTGCATAAGCTTTACTCCTGGTGTCCTTGGGGAGTCAGTCCTGGAACACGAGGCCCTGTGCCGTCTCCCTTAGGCTTGAGCTTAACCCCAATAAAGCCTCATTCAGATGGTATTGCTTGTCTCTGGCATTTTCATCTCGAATTGAACAAAAGAGCCCAAGGATGAGTTGGCAACACTAAGGTCTGAGATTTGGAATCAAAGATCGCCAAGCCTGGTACCAATGCTACTTCTTCCTTTTGAAGGGTATCTGACTCCTAAGCAGTGGTTCTTACACTTCACTGCAGCAGTATCACTTGCAGATGTTCAGGAAACTACCGTTTAAGCAAGTGTGCTACCATTTCTAATGCAGAGGGCTCATGGCTCCCACTCTGTTCAAAATATTTTATTGGGCCAAGACCAGCTGAAAAAACACATTACAACTTGCCTTTGTGGGCCTGTTGTGGGCAAGATTACCTTTTCTCCTGTATTTTATCTTTACCTTCTCTTCCCTATCCTTTCTCAAAGTTTCTGGAATTCTGGGCTTCATTATCATTGCCTCAACCCTAGCTGCTTCTACATCTTGTATTCATAGCAAAGCAGACATAGTTGATAACATCGTATGTTTTTTTTCTCATCTGTTTGCATTTGCCTAGCAAACCCTATGTCACAAATGACTCTCTAGGCTGGGAGCGTAACTCAATGTTAGAGAGGATGCCTAGCATTCACAAGGCCCTGGGTTCGATTCCCAGCACCAAAAAAACCCCCAGAAAGTTCTGTTGGCATCATTTCCTTCTTGACTAATTGTGCAGAGGATTTAGTTAGGTGGCTGAGATGGGGCTGACATCCTAAGTCTCTTAGGAAGGTGACCAGCAGAGCTACAAATTATGTGGGTGCTGGCATCCCATAGCCAGAGTTATACCCTGGCTGTACTCCATCAGCTTTCCATTTGCAAAACTGCTTGGAACTCATCGTCTTTATCTGTGCAATGGAATAATAATTACAACCCTTTTACGGTGATAAACGATAATTCATATGTAAAGTGCTTATCATGATGCCTAACACGTAGTAAGCATCCAATAAACTCGGCTATTTTGTTTATTATCTTAAATACACCCAGATCCGGTTATTTAAGTGGCCTCTTGCTGTTTTGCCAAGGTAGAATAAAAAGGGTCTCTAACCCAGAGAAACTTCCTCTCTGTGCTTGCTGAAACCTGATATTATATTCTGAGGGATTGATTTTCCGTTTCATTTTTAGTATAAGATTTTGCTTTCCAGTAAAGCCTAAATACTTTAAGGAAGAAAAAAAGAGAGTGAGTCTTATAAGTTATTTTATAAGTCACTTAGCCCTTATTCAGTTGTTTTAGAATTTTTTTTCTGGAGTCTATTTCTTTTAGCTTTTTTTTTTTTTTCAGTGCTGGTACTTGAACCCAAGGCCTCATGCATGCTAGGCAAGTGCTCTGTGACTAGCTATACCTCAGCCTGACACCAGGTCTTTTGTTGCTGTTGGAGGTTTTGTTTTGTTCTGCTTCTTTGTGGGGGGAGGGCAGGGTTTCACTATGCAAACCAGCCTGGCATTGAACCCTAGATCCTGCCAAGTGCTGGGATTATAGGCATGAACCACCATGCCTGGCACCTGAGGCCACGTTTTTTAAAAGCCAAGAAAGGGCACTGTCTAAAAGAAAGCAATGCAGAGAAGAGGATGGATGCAGGTCAAGCCATCCTATGTCAGGGTTTTTCCTGTTGTCCATCCTGAGCATAACATTGAAAACACATTGTACTGAAATGAATGAATTCAGTGATACACACATAAGAATTTTAGCGAATAAAACAGGAAATTCCTTCATTAAGGGAACATCATTGCCTGGACTGTATTTCTTCATAAATAAACTTTTGGTTATTGGAAAAGTTTGGTCAAAAAAATTTCATTATTAAAATTGGTTAACTTAACATTATGGAAAATACATCTTTCTTTCTCAATCACAAGGCAATTTAAACTTCAGCTGGGAAGTTTGATTCTTATTGCTTTTATTTATATATTTGTTTATAATGCTAGATACATAATTAGTATGCTTGGTTTCATTTTCTGTATCCTCTAGAATAAAACTTCTCCAAGGCAGGGATCTTTGTCTCCTTTGCTCACTAAGGTTCTTAAGCACTAAAAGAGGCTAAATGAATATTTCATGAATAAGTGAACACCTTTTTTTTAAAAAAGCAATCAATATTAAAGATTTGCTAAAGAGCAATTTGAAAAGATGCATCAGTATCTTAAAATGCGCTTGACTCTTGATCTAATAATTCTTCTTTAGATCTAAAGAGACAAGGAAAGTTTGAATGCAAATGTATTAAAAGAAGTTTATTCCTAATGAAAAAAGGAAATAGCCTAGAATATTGTTTAAAAAAGAAAACAAATAAGTTCTGGTATGTCCATAAATTAGAATCTACCCAACAAGGTAGATTAAGTAAGAGAATCAGAATACAAAACACTGATTACACCATAGCAGGTGCACAGGAAAAATTAGTATTAAATTCAGCAAAATGTGGATAGCAGGTATTTCTAGTTGTATAATAGAAAAAACTTGCATTGCTTTCACAAACAAACAGGAAAAAAAAAAGAGAAGTTTTTAAAAAAAATTTAACATTTTCACTTTCCCTAGCACACTTCAATTGTTTCTTATTTAATGTGTGTCAGAGGCATTTGAACCAAGAGGCTAGTCTGTGGTGCTTCTTAGCTAATGCAAATTTTCAGGGATGTTTAATTTTGATGGATACTTTTTCTCCTTGGAAACAAAAGACTAAGTTCAGACTGTTGTAGGGGCAGCTCTGGTGTTCTTATTCCCTTACATCTCAGGCTAAAGACCTTCAGCCTTAAAGAAGAACATTTTCAGTCACACACCTAACTTGTACAGTGTTTAGGTTAAGTGATGTAATTGCTGAAAAAGGTTGATGACATTCTGAGGGAAGGCAGGGAAAATGCACAGAAAATGTATCTGAATAATTAGGTGCTACAAAACCACTAGCAATGTGCTAGTTAGCAGGTCAGGCCTCAGTTTTTGCTTTTGTAAAATGGTGCTAATTACACTACCAAATGTGGTTGATGTGAAAATCAAGCTTGTATTTAGTAGAACTTTATAAATGGTAAACGATAGGTATTAATTTGGATAATCTTGCTACACAATTCTAGGTTTTGTTAAAAATAATTAGGCTATCAAACAAATTCTATTATAAATCAGCTTGTAAAATCTTAAGAATTCTTAATGATGTCAATTTAAGACAAGATACCTTAACCCTAAAGCCAACTTTCAAAAAAAAAAACAGCACTCATTATTGAAAATGACTCCTTATTAATGTATTTCTAAGATTTGAGCATCAGGGGGCGCCAAAAGAACTTTTTGCAGTCATCTGGCTCCTGGCTCCTGGTACTTATTTGGCAGCCATCAGTATTTACAATTTATGTCAAAGTGCTTTGAAAATATAAATCACTAAAGCTCAAAATTAAATATAAAAAAGAAACATAAATCAAGTTTCCAAGACGTCATAATAAGAATGATATTAGCAATACTGTGATTATAATCAAGTCCTTCGGTTCTGAAAAGAAAACTTGAAACCAGTGTTTAAACTACAGAGAGTAGTGGGTCACCTTCAGGGTTATGGACTGTGATGGAGTAGTATGACGATCACAATAGACTTACTTTATTATTTGCTTACCATGAAGGTCTATTTAGCAATGAAATTGGTATTGAATGACACAAGTAAACATATAGAAAAATTAAATTAGTAATATAAGGAATAGGATAAGGTCTAGAGATAAACAGCATATCAGCTAAATCTTGTGGAGAACTCATTGATCCCATATTTAAGTGTTATAACTCTTCCTGATTGCTTTGCACATAGCAGACAATCAATACTTATTAACAGGATTCGATTTGTGTCTCTTTTAGAAGAATATATGTTTGTGATTCCAAAACAAGATCTAAGAAAATTGCATGCCTCACAATCACCCAGGGCGGGTTTGAAAGAAATGTCGAGTCTTAAGAACCTCCCTTTCCTACTGGCTGTGGGATCAGACCCTCTGGGCTGGACAGTGAACACACCTTAAACAAGCACCCCTGGTTGATTTTTAGCTCAGGAATGTTTAGAACCATTTTGCAAATCCTCGTAGCCTTAGCAAAATCAAAACAAAATGATTACCACCTACCCTAGGGTATTTTTGCCAATCTTGATAGAAATCAAGCAGAAAATATATTAGAAGAGTCAGAAGTCAAAAGAAAAGCCTCAGAGATTAAAAATATAAACACACTCACCTGTGTCAGGTGTGTGATGGAAAAAGGGGGAACTCCAGGGCTGCCAGTACCTTTTGCCTCTTTCTTGACATCTCACTTGAAATATATAATTAATGTTTGGCTCCAAGTAGAATTCTGACTGTTGCACATATGTAAAATTGGCATCAAATTCTTTAACCTGAAGTAGATGTACAATAACAAAATAATATATGCTTTCTTTTTTTGTGGTACAGGGATTTGAACTTAGGGCTTCATGCTTGCAAAGCAGGAACTCTACCATTTGAACCACAACTCCTGTTCCTTTTGCTCTGGTTATTTAGGGATGGGGGTCTCGAGAACTATTTGCCTCAGCAGGCCTCCAATCATGATCTTCCCAATCTCAGTCTCCCAAGCAGCTAGGATTACAGTGGTGAGCCACTGGAACTTGGCTTATGGTATGCTTTTTAGAATAGTTTTCCACCTAGCAGAGATGTATGCAGCACTCCTATTCTCAGAGCACTCTCCTAGACCCTGAAAAACAGAGCAATAGAGCACTTTGTGCAAAACATACGTGATCATATATTCAAGCATTAAAAGTGGAATTCACATCGCTTTGTGTGACAGCTCTCTCAAGCTTGTAAATCTCAGGAAAGCCCACAATGTAACACGTTATAAATTCTGGAAGAGCTGATTTTTAGGGGAGTGGGGAAATGGAGAATTCGATGATGACTGTTCTAGTCTTCTCTCTCTCTCTCTCTCTCTCTCTCTCTAGTTAGATATTTAGATCAACAGTTTTCTCTGAATGATAAAATAATTTCACTTGTTCATGATTACTTTTAGAAAAATTATTGATAAGCTAATTTGTTAAATTGGTCCTTTACTGCAAATTTATACAAATTCTACAAGGCCTAAGATATGTCCATGTGTGTGAGAGAGAGGGAGAAAGAGACAGAGACAGACAGAAATAAAACAAAACATTTAAGAATGTTTTCAGATATGTCAGAACGAATGCTAATAAAAATCAATAGATGTTAAGTGATATTGTAACATTCACACACAAAAAAGAATGTTGAGCTATGAAAATCCAATGGAAATAAGAAAGAAAATAGGTGAGGAACAAATTTACATTTTTTCTGACTACTTTGTAAAATATAGTGAAAAATGCCCCCAAAGAAACTGCTTTGGCTGACAGCGGGTCCAAGGAGCAAGCACAGCATCTTCGTGTGGAACAGGAAGTGATTTACTGAAAAGGTGAAGCAGGATTGGAAGGCATAGTATAGACATAAAATATGTCTAGAAATGCATTTATTAGGCGATTGGGAGAAAACCAATCACCAGACACTCGTGAAGGAGAAAATTAACACTATCGAGATTTTAAAGGACAGAAGAGAAAAGACCAAGGTATCAATCCCATTCAGGGATTCTTCTATTAAAACTCATTCCTGGGCTGGGGGCAGGGCTCCAGCGGTGGAGCATCTGCCCAGCAAGTGCAAGGCCCTGAGTTCAAACCCCAGGACTGCCCCCCCCCCCACCAAACATAATCTTAAAATCAATCTTTGAAACTTGTCATGTATTGGAAATGTAAAATTCATGAAAATACCCATTTAGGGATACCATGCCCCTTGAAAGAGATCATTCAGAGTTTCCATAACTCTGGTCCTCAGATTTTTCTGCCATGTAAATATGAATGGTGGGTATTTGGAGTTCTCTCAGATCCAGGAGAGATTTTACTGCTTGTGCCAAAGATGTGACTTTCAAACACACTCTGCTGGCTGATGACCTAGCTTAGTGGTTGAGTGCCTGCCTAGCATGCATAAAAGCATGGGTTTGAGCACCAGCACCAGGAAAAACATCTCCAATGTACCGTTTCATATTAACTTCTCTTGTCGGGGAGTTGTTATTCTCCAATGTGTCACTTACCATTATGTTTATAGGAAAGTCTTCTTGAAGAAAAGAAATACCTGAACACACAGCCAGAATTACAAAACAGGAAGAATTTCCTATTTAAGGCACACTACACGATGTTATGAGATATGTATAACTAGTAGAAAGGTTACTATAGTAAAACAAATTAACATATCCACCATCTCACCTAGTTTCCCTTTCTGGAGCAATGGGCAGTTCAAATCGACTCATTTAGCATGGGTACTGCAGCAAACCTGTTTTAATACCTGTAGTCCTCATGTTCAGTTCATCTCGTGTACTGCTGCTTTGTATCTGGTAAACTATAGCTTCCATCCCCATCCCTCCCCTTGTTTTGTTCTCATCTCTGTATATTTGAATTTTTAAAAATTTCACATATAAATGAGAAAGAATTTTACAGAACTGTTACTGGTTGTTTTTATGATGAGGCAAACCAGGCAACTGCTTAGGGCCTTCCAAGCATCAGAGACTGAAATGAATGCTGTAGAATCTAGACCTAATTTGGTGCCTATGTAGAGGCCATAACATCGCAAATGCAAGAAATACAACTTTACATTTTATAATGGTTTCTATCTAGAGCCTTAGTTCTGCAGGTTGGAGGGCACTGACTCTTTATCTCTGTCAATTTTAGGTATAGCTTTTCTCAAGGTTTCATCTGAGTTCCTGAGAGCATCCTATGGTGGAGGCAGGAAGAATCTCCAACCTACCCAAAAGTTCCATGGTCCCCAACTCCTGAGATGATAGACTTGGGGACATGGCCCAGGATAGGGGTCCTCCTTAGTAATCTACCAACATCTAAACTCTCCTGGTTTCTCCTCTTTACCTGTCACTCTCAATCTTCCTCTCTCTGGTTAGCTAATTTTAATGCAGTGTTTGGTGAGGAGGAAAGCAGAGTGGTGATTGGGAAAGTTATTTGTGACAAATCACATGTCCTTCCAGGTCCTTTGTCTTACACTGGCATTCAGACTTCTGAAACACAAAAATCAAGGATTTCATCCTTCAAAATCTGGGTGTAGTTCTATCAGTCCTTCTGGAAAAAGAATGAATACTTGGTTTTGTGCAGTTTATGCTAAGGATAGTTTTTACATTTAAAAATATTAGAAAAAAAGCCAAAAGAAGACTAAATCATGATGCATACAAATTATATGAAATTCAAACCTCAGTGTTTAAAAATAAAATCATTTTAGAACACAGCTATGCCCATTCATTTGCATAGTCTATGAGTGCTTTTGGGTCACAAAAATACAGATGAATGCTTGGGACAGAAAGCCCTCAGATAAGAAGTTTACTATCATCCTGGTCTAGCTAGAGAAATAACTCACCACTAAGTACTTACTTGAATTTACAGTCAAGATCCCGTCTTACTAGTACTGAGTAGTAATATTGTCACCATTAAAGGCAATCATCATCGTCATAATCATCATAGCTAATGTTTAAAATAGTATCTATATGCACTAGATATTATAAAAATTATGGTAATACAAAAAATGATTACCTCAAAGCCATGCCTTGCAAAATAGATGTGTAAACAAGTGATTATACAAATGCTTCTGAAATGGGGACATAGAAGTGGGCACAGATTACTGCTGGCAATTGTGAGCTCAATTTGTTTTTTCTTTTGGCAGTACTGGGGATTGAACTCAGGGCCTTGGGCCTGTTGGGCAGGCTCTACTTGAGCAACTCCACCAGCCCTTTTTGCATTGGTTATTTTTGAGCTAGGGTCTTGCATTTGGCTCAGGCTGTCCTGAATTGCAATCCTCCTATGTATGCTTCCTGATGTAGTTGGGACAATGCAACCACTGCACTCAGTCATTGGTTGAGATGAGGTCTTGGGAACTTTTGCACAGGCTGGCCTCCGATGGTGATCATCCTGATCTCTGCCTCTCAAGTAGCTAGGATTATAGGTTTAAACCACTGCTTCTGGCCATGAGCTCAATTCTTGACAGGAGCTTAGGGTGCTAGAGAGACAGATTGTGAAGATAGCCAACAAGTAGCTAGAAGTGTGGGTCTGATGTTCTGAGGAACTGGAAGAACTCTAAATTACAGCCTGGAGTGTGACTGAGGCTTGGGAGAGGGTGAATGGAGCTACAGAGTGAGGAGGAAGAAACACCAGGCATGAAAGGAGGGTCCATGTTTAGGGAGTTGGCAGAGAATAGGGTTGAGAGAACTAAGACATTCCAGAAGCCCCAGAGGAGAGACATTTTCAGGGAGGAGGGATCAACAGTGTCAGGAGCAGAGCAGGATGACGACTGCCATGGTTTGCAAGATGCTTGGACTCTGCTGGTTCCAACTGAGTGCAGAGAACTTGGGTTATATCTTGAGGTCAGTTCAGCAATGGCCCAGGTGTTTTCCTGCCCTTTATCCTTGCTTTTACCATGTGTCTTTAGTGCCTTCCCATTCGGATCCTGGGTTTGGCTATGTGGCTTCATTGGGCCAATAGTCTGCTGGTGAGCATGATGCAAACAGAGGACTGAAAGGCACTGGAGCAACTGGGCTTACATGCTCCCACTCTCTGCTCCCACTCTCTGCAGGCACCAAAAGAAGAACGTGCCCAGGCTAGCCCATTGTTCCCAGGAAGAGGACTCAGAAACATGTAGAGAAGAGCCCAGGCTCAGACATGCAAAAGAGCCTGCTGAAGTGCAAACACATGCCAAGTTCCAGCTAAACCCAGCCTAGTCCAACTTGGCATGGCAGTGACAAATGCTGACTGTCACTTCAGGCTTGTGGCAGTTTGTTGCCCATTATAAAGCAGTAGATAGCTGATTTACAATCCAAGGATGTAATGAAAACCCAGTAGAAGGTTACAAGGACTAAAACTTCTGTATTTACTTGGTAGAAAGTGGATCTACTGTGATTTTGTTGCTTAGTGTAGGGTCCAGAAAGATCGTTGCTGATCAATGAATTTGGGGTGGCATTGTTTAGCCAATGTGCTTTGTAAGATCCTTTCTGCTGATGCAAGATATGTCACTACTTCCGGGCATTTATTTATTGTTTGTTTGTTCATTTGTTTGGTTATTCTTGAGATAGGATCTCACTGTGTAGCCCAGATTGGCCTTAACTTGCAATCCTCCTTCCTCTCCTGCCTCTGGAGTACTGGGATTACAGGCATGCACCATCACGTCCAACCCATACATGTACTTCTCTTAATTGAAGTTCACTGTGTTGTTTTCTGATATGATGGCCCAGCAAGGCCCAAAGGTAAGGCCTGTTAATGGTGAAAATAAATTGTAACCATGTAGATTTAAAGTATACAATACAATGAATACCTTAAGAGAG